GTATGTTGTCCAATATTATGAAAAAAAAGTCATAGTATAGTATGTCGTCCAAAATTATGAAAAAAAGTCATACTATAGTATGTTGTCCAAAATTATGAATAAACGTCATGCTATAGTATGTCATCCAATATTTTGAAAAAAGGTCATGTTATAATATGTCGTCCAAAATTATGAGAAAAAGTCATACTATGGTATGTTGTCCAAAATTATGAAAAAAAGTCATATTATAGTATGTTGTCCAAAATTATGAAAAAAAAGTCATAGTATAGCATGTCGTCCAAAATTATGAAAAAAAGTCATACTATAGTATGTTGTCCAATATTATGAAAAAAAGTCATGCTATAATATGTCGTCCAAAATTATGAAAAAAGTCATACTATAGCATGTCATCCAAAATTATGAAAAAAAGTCATACTTTAGTATTTCATCCAAAATTATGAAAAAACGTCATGATATAGTATGTCGTCCAAAATTGTGAAAAAAAACTCATACTATAGTATGTCATCCAAAATTGTGAAAAAAAGTCATACTATATTATGTCATCAAAAAATAATGAAAAAAACTCATAGTATAGTATGTCATCCAAAATTATGAAAAAACGTCATGCTATAGTATGTCATCCAATATTATGAAAAAAAGTCATGCTATAGTATGTCATCCAAAATTATGAAAAAAACTCATACTATAGTATGTCATCCAAAATTATGAAAAAACGTCATGCTATAGTATGTCATCCAATATTATGAAAAAATGTCATACTATAGTATGTCATCCAAAATTGTGAAAAAAAGTCATACTATAGTATGTCATCCAATATTATGAAAAAATGTCATACTATAGTATGTCATCCAAAATTGTGAAAAAAAGTCATACTATAGTATGTCATCCAAAATAATGAAAAAAACTCATAGTATAGTATGTCATCCAATATTATGAAAAAATGTCATACTATAGTATATCAGTCAAAATTATGAAAAAACGTCATAGTATAACATGTCGTCCAAAATTATGAAAAAAAGTCATATCATAGTATGTTGTCCAAAATTATGAAAAAAAGTCATAGTATAGCATGTCGTCCAAAATTGTGAAAAAAAGTCATACTAGTATGTCATCCAAAATTATGAAAAAAAGTCATACTATTGTATGTCATTCCAAATTATGAAAAAACGTCATACTATAGTATGTCATCCAAAATGATGAAAAAAAGTCATACTATAGTATGTCATCCAAAATTATGAAAAAATGTCATAATATAATATGTCGTCCGAAATCATGAATAAAAGTCATACTATAGTATGTCATCCAAAATGATGAAAAAAAGTCATACTATAGTATGTCATCCAATATTATGAAAAAAGTGTCATAATATAATATGTCGTCCAAAATTATGAAAAAAATGTCATACTATAGTATGTTGTCCAAAATTATGAAAAAAAGTCATAGTATAGCATGTTGTCCAAAATTATGAAGAAAAGTCAAATTATAGTATGTTGTCCAAAATTATAAAAAAAAGTCATAGTATAGCATGTCGTCCAAAATTATGAAAAAAGTCATAGTAAAGTATGCTGTCCAAAATTATGAAAAAGAAGTCATACTATAGTATGTCATCCAAAATTATGAAAAAATGTCATACTATAGTATGTCGTCCAAAATTATGAAAAGAAGTCATACTATAGTATGTAAGCCAAAATTATGAAAAAAAAGTCATACTATAGTATGTTGTCCAAAATTATGAAAAAAACGTCATAGTATAGTATGTCATCCAAAATTATGAAAAGAAGTCATAGTATAGTATGTCATCCAAAATTATGAAAAAAAGTCATACTATAGTATGTCATCCAAAATTATGAAAAAACGTCACAGCATAGCATGTTGTCCAATATTATGAAAAAATGTCATACTATAGTATGTCATCCAATATTATGAAAAAACATCATAGTATAGTGTGTCATCCAATATTATGAAAAAATGTCATACTATAATATGTCGTCTAAAATTATGAAAAAAAGTCATACTACATTATGTCATCCAAAATTATGAAAAAAGTCATACAATAGTATATCATCCAATATTATGAAAAGATGTCATATTATAATATGTCGTCCAAAATTATGAAAAAAAAGTCATACTATAGTATGTCATCCAAAATTATGAAAAAATGTCATAGTATAATATGTCGTCCAAAATTGTGAAAAAAAGTCATACTATAGTATGTCGTCCAAAATTATGAAAAAAATGTCATACTATAGTATGTCGTCCAAAATTATGAAAAAAAAGTCATACTATAGTATGTCATCCAATGTTATGAAAAAATGTCATAGTATAGCATGTCGTCCAAAATTATGAAAAAAGTCATACTATAGTTTGTCATCCAAAATTATGAAAAAAAGTCATACTATAGTATGTCGTCCAATATTATGAAAAAATGTCATAGTATAGCATGTCGTCCAAAATTATGAAAAAAAGTCATACTATAGT